AGTAGAAATCGGGATAAAAATAGTTCAACTAATAGAATAACGAACTCTTTTGAAAGAAGTCCCGGGAGTCCGGCGGGCGGCGAGGCGCAAAGTGGCAAATGAGCGGCGCCCGGGCACCCGCCGGGATGCGATTGATTGCGCTGATTGCCACCGGCGCCGGCGGCCAAGCGCTGCTTCCCTGCGGCACGGCATTTATTGTTAACCGCTGTTTTAAAGTGCATTTTTGTCGGCAATTTAAACGCAATCGTGTAGCTTCTCAGGTTGCGTAGAATTAACACAAAGATCCTCACAAATATGGCTTTTATTTGAAAACGTGTTCCGAATTAATAACAATCTCTTTTAAGCTACTTGCCATAATTTGACACCACTCCAGCTTTTCGGACCTTCAGCACTAGACTGCTCTTCGATTGTCACGCTCGACTCCACTTTTAAATAACATGGTGTAACGTGACAGGAGCGGCCAGCAATTGTCTGGCGAAAAATTAAACCAAAACAGATTAATTTATTATATTACGGACGAGGGGGGCTCGTTGTTGCTAAGGTACATTTATATTGATTTGTAATACTTAATATAAATATTCAACAATAACACGTACGTAATATTTTTAGTAGCAGTAGAGCTCCTTGTGAAAGAGTTCGTCCAGGGATGGAAATCGAAAACAACGAAAATTACCACAAAAAGCTATACTTGAAAAATTAGTTCTGCATTGAACCGGCCGGGGATCGAAGCCGGGACCTCAGAGATGTGCGTGCAAGACTACGGAGATGATGATGATAACACAATAAACTTTTTTTGTACGTACAATATAATTATTTATATCACTTTTTACATGTCTTTAGATTAGCAAGTTTTCAAACTCGAGGTTGTTTATTTATAACATTGAAAATGTCACGATAAATATAAGACATTTAAGTGTGATCTCATAGTACAGGGAATCCCTAGTTTGAGGTCAAGCAATTGATGTGGTTATCTGGCAAAAAAATCATCTATTTGTTTGTAAAGATACTCTGTACTTTTAGCGTCAGAGGTTAAAAATAAAACTAAGCCTAATTTATCCTCAAACTACACAAGAGAGTGGGATGTGCTCATCAGATACTGTGGCACAAGTACCTTTCTACGTCATATATCAAGTTAAACATTACATTTAATCAAAAAACACGTAATTTAATTATAATAAGTTATAATTTAATTACATGTTAGATGTGTATAAATAATAATATAACCACTCTACCAGTAAAGTAACTCAAAGCATAATTAAGTATTATTGAATGTCAGTATATTTCACCAAATTACTCCACAGGCTTATTATAATTATTAAACGAAGATAGAAAAAAAATTCACTTCGATCCGAACCATCGTCTCCCAGCAAACCGTGCCAGACGCTATGCCAACTAAGCCACGGAACGAACCAACGGCCCTCACGAATTTTTCCATGTGCTTGCTGCAGATCTTTGTTTCTTCGTTTTTTGCTGTAGCGACATCTGTGAGAAATCTATTTCTTCTTCTAATATAGCGAGGCATTATTATTATGATACGAACTTACAGGTTATGATTGACGACCTTCATGGTCGAGTGGTTTGTTCACCCGTTTTCATGGTATCGCCATCTCCGAGGTCCCGGATTCAATCTCCGGCCAGATCTTTTCTACATAGTCTCGGGTGTGGGTGTGTGTGATACTGTCGTTGATTCCAATTTCCATAACTCAAATGCTTTAGTTACTTATGTTGGGGCCAGAGCAACGTATATGATGTTAAAAAGTGTACTATTATGCACAGATGAAGATAACAAAGATGATAAAAAGCTACTTCCTTACGCACTCATATAAAACACAGGAAAAAACTTGTTAGCTGAGAGCTGAGAGTGGTATTGAGTATCCCATAACAAAGTTTTATTGTCATGGACCTAGAAAATGATGTGCACTTTGTGGTTCTATGATAATATCGACCAATAATACAAGAGGAATCCTAATCACGATACAAGACAGCGTAATCGGGTATTTAGTACTGACCTATTGGTATAATATGTAACTTTATGAACAGCTATTTTTGTAACTAATTCGGTTTACACTGATGAGCTCTAATTTCTAGTGATAACAAATAAATTAACTAGATGGCGCTTATTTTACAAATTGTTATAGATACCTTGCCAGCTATTCTTTTATTTTGCTTAGGATTAGCGCCACCCACTTTAGCCATTGATATCATCCATTGATACGCATATGTACCAAAGTTCCGAAAATGATAATTATTAATACAAACTGTGCTAGAGGTGACAATAGCGTCAATCGCTAAATAGCGACATCTGTGACTGGTAATTGTAAAGTTTCCTAACTGGGTGATGAAAAACTTTCATAGATTTAAAAAGTCTTTGAACAACCAAAAACAAAGATCAAACAACAAGCACATAGAAAAATTCGTGAGATCCGCTGGTTCGTTCCGTGGCATAGCGTCTGGCACGGTTTGCTAGAAGACGTCGGTTCGAATACGTTCGGATCGAAGGATTTTTTCCAAGTATTCGGTCTTTTCTTGATCTTTCTATTAATAATTATAAGTAACTAGTGGAGTAATTTCACAAAATAATAGTTTATGTGACTTACATAATTTAAGGCATTAAAATACGAGTGCGTTTGAACCCTAAACAACATCTCACGAGTGTTTTAATGCCTAATTATATACAGTTACATACACTGCTTTGTCTACACACATATTATAAGCTCTCTGTAACGTGTTCAGGAATGGCATGTTACGACTGGCGAAACGGCAGCAAATAAAAACTTTTCACGCGCGTATCTCACAGCCGTAGTTTTTATTTTTAATTCATAGACAAACTAGAATCGGCCCCAACTATCATATCGTTCGATATCAAATAACGTGTGAAATTGTCAAAATTGTTTGCTATTGACATTTAGTTTCGAATAAAACTTCATCTCCACTGATATTAGAATTGAGGTCCAATCAAATTGTTTTGTTTTTCAGAGATGTTCGATGTTTGAACGTAAATAATAACATTTTCACCTTTATGCTGGTCGTAATTTGCGGATTTTGAACACATTATAGAGAATTTATGATGTGTGTAGATAAAATAATTTCAATACAAATTTACTTTAAGAAAATAATTCAAATTCAAATTATTTATTTCGAATGTTATACAGACAAACAAAAATTAGTAATACAAACAAAAACTTACACACTAATGTCAGTAAATTACAAATATTGTCTTTGTTTAGGGTGCGTGTGAATTTTTATCCAGTGCTCAAGGAATGAACCTTCGACCCTTCCAGCAATGATACTCAGGAGGCCGCTGCCACTACCACTGATTCGGCGCTTCAAGGAGGCGATTCTTTTTCGTATGATGGCAGCGAACCCATCTATTTGTGCATACGCGAACATTCCCGAGGCGCTGCGGAATCGGGGCAGCCGCAACAGCATCCTGAATATATTATTAAATACAACTCGTAGGGAGCTGAGAGCTTTCAGGTTGTAGTTAACCCATAGGCTACTGGTGTAAAAGGTCTTGCAGTAAGCTTTAAATATCGATACCTTAACGTTACTAGTACACCTAGCAAACCTACGAGCCAACATGTTGCCCCGCACTGCCAGCGCCCTATGTTCTCTTTCAATATTTGTATTATCTCCAAAGGACTCGGTGACCCAGTGCCCAAGGTACTTCAATTTGGTGACTTTATTTAACTTCTGGAACGGTGTTATAGCATTTGCTACCAGTTTTAAATAAGAGCAACTCGCTTTGCTAGTCGCATTGTATCGAAGGACTTGGGCCACCGCATAAAGTTCACAGTTTTTCACTAGCTTCCGAAGTGCACTTATTGACAGATTCAGCAACACCATGTCATCCGTGTAACTGATGTTGTTCACAATAGTACCCTCAATTGAGCATCCGATTCCAGTGTTACTGAGTTCGACAATTAGACGGTTCATGTACTGTTTGAAGAGGCTCGGTGAGGTCAAACCCGCTTGCCTCACGCCACACTCCAACCTGTACATGCCCGACATAGTGCCCTCCCATCTGACATAATTTTATCATTATTGTACCAATATCTAAAGATACTAATTATATCACCCGGGAGATTAGTTTCATCCTGTAGTTTACTCCACAACCTGTCATACGATACGAGATCGAAAGCTTTGGACAGGTCGAGGAAGCAAGCGTAAACAGGAGTTTTTTTCGACGTATAATACTGGACAGTGTGCTTAAGGCAAAGGACAGCAGCTTCTGTCGATAATCCTGTGCGCAACCCAAATTGAGCATCGTGCAGTTACTAGTGCTTCCTTAAGTGCTTATCAAGCAGACTGTCCAGTACTTGTCCTATTATGGTAGCCAGGGATATAGGTCTATAGTTATTGATACTTGAAGCGTCGCCCGTCTTGTTCTTCGCAATTGGTACAACAACAGTTATGATCAACTCCTGAGGCAAGTATGAGTGCCCCACACATAGTGTGAAGAACAAGGCGAGCACTCGGGGCAGGTGTACACTTCCATGCTTCAAATGCTCTACGCAGAGGGAGTCGTGACCAGGAGACTTGCCACGTGCCATTCCCTTGATGACCGCCGCAACTTCTTTGGGCGTGAAGCGGACTTGCTGTGGCTGCCCCTTGCCATCAAAGTCCAGGGTCTGACTCGCCGCAGGCCCCAGAGGTAACTTGACTTCGAAGTGCGTCCTAAATAATTCTGCTATCTGGCAGGGCTCAGTTACATCCTCAACACTGACAGGGTGACTAGACTTAGTATTGGATTTCTTTATTGCTTTTGAGAATTCGGAAAACTTTTTATTAGAATGAAGCGATGCTAATATCATTCGTATTTGTTCCTTATTATTTTGACACCACTTAAGTTTACTTTTAAAAACCTTCTTAGACTCCCGCATCCTATTGAATATGGGTCCACATATAGATCTACCATAGTCAGTCCACTCCAAAAACCTAAGCCGAGCCTCCTTATGATAAGAAATGTTAATAATAATGTTAGATCACGATCAATATTTTATATAATATTACGAGGAAAAAGCTGACTACATATATTTCATATTAAAAAGGAATTACTTGATACCCACGGCTTTTTACAAATACAAACTATATCCAGGCAATCGATCAGCGCAATCTAGACATAAAACGGTATTTTGACCTTTCAGAGTTACGATCTGCAGTATGGAGATCAGCAGTTCACTCATTTGTCCATGATGATAATAAAAACTTTGTTATGTTGTAGAACTAGTCACAGAATTGTTATATTAATTCCCACTATATACTTGTCTCGGCTCTAAGCCAACAAATATCTCCCAAGGCTGCTTCCCAATACTTATAGGGAAACAAGGGAAAACTTAAATCCGTTTATCAACATTATCGAACTCGCGACGACAAAGCCGCGAATTATCGCTCTCCGATACTAAGAACATCCACCTACAAATTTGAAAGTATTACAAAAGACGAATGTTTGATACCCGATTGAATAAGCACATTTGAATTGAACGTAGATAATATACACTGGTATATTCCTCGCCTAAACTTACATATAGTACATGATTCCATGCAATATAATAATACTACAAGATAAAAAGTTTTTTTAAATAAATTAAGATCGCTCTTTATACGAAAATAGTACACAGACTTTTTAAATGCTAAAGTAATGTGACTCCATGAATTCATTCCTAAATTAATATATAAGTCCATTATTTAAAATAGATGTCTTATTACTTAAAACAATTTGTTGTATTTTTGCTGTATACTGTATTAATGTATGTGTATTAATTAATTTTGTATTTTTAACCGAGTTTCAAAAAGGAGGAGGTTCTCACCGATTTGAATAAAACTTGGCAATTATTATTATTTTTTATAATATCAAGTGACGGGATGGGAAGTCGTGCGCCTGATGGTAAGCGACACGCCTATCTACAACAGTTGCAGTGCCACTCAACTTTAAACCTCAAAGACCAGAGGGGCACTGCCACTGCGCCCGTCACCCTGCGATATAAAGTCCCGTGTGCCTGTAATTAGATAGATGTAATTCCAATAAAAAAGCGGAAAAGCAAACTTTTGAAGTCGGCTTTTTTTTAATAAAAACGTTATAACATTTATTTTCGTTTATTAGGTACTTTGTTATTTCCTATATGTTTTTAGCTGTGCCCTAACACGGTAAATTTCATTACGTCCTTACATGTTTGCTAATAAATAAATACTAAAACATTTAATCATTATGTAAACGCTTTTGTTACACTGAATTCCACATTCTAGAAAAATTGGTTATATTTTTTTATACGCACGGACAGGAAGGAAATCATTGTTTTGACTGTCTTTTGTACATTTATTTTTGTTTATTACTATTTTGTTTTTATATTAACTGGTTACATTACTTGACGGTCATATTATCCCTTGACATTGTATTTTTATACTGCCGTCCACTAATTAAAACTCGGTTAAGTGGTCAAATATCCGTTTTAAATAGATAGAGCACAAATATATCTTTTAAAATTAGTTAACGTGCTCGACTTATCGGAACTTACTCTAGCGTTGCTTAACTGAAACATCATTAAACAATTTCAATCTTCTAAAACTGGGTTATGGTTTTTTAAGATATCTCAAAAAAAAATTTTGTCGTTTTATTTATCTCGGCAATACATTCCTCTGGCTTTATCACGTCCTGTAATGATAGTAACGTGGTGCTAAGCTCGACTTCAAGACGTAGTGCACCTGGCATAACGTGTTATTGACCATTGCTGAACACTGGTCTCTTTCAAGCAGAGGGTCTAGTGCCTGAAGGCTTCACACGTTTTATAACTTTCTTGATGCGCAGGTTTCATTATTACGTTTTGATACGAAATATCACAAGTATTTATGAAACTTAGAAGTCTATAGATATGTTTGCAGCGGTAGAGCTCCTTGTGAAAGAGTTCGTCCAGGGAAGTACTGCCACCTTACCTATTTCTGCCGCCAAGAAGTAATGTGAGCATTACTGTGTTCCGGTTTAGAAGGGTGTTGGTGAAATCACAGGCACATGGGCCTTGTCAACTTATATCTCAGGGTGACGGGCGCAGTGGCAGTGCCCTCAGATCTTTGCGATTTCAAGCTCTGGAGTGGCACTGCAACCGTTATAGATAGGCGTGTCCACTAGGCACACGACTTGTTCGTCCCGTCGTTTGGTATTCTAAATAAAAATAAAAATAAAGTATTTAAATATAAATAAGTAACTTGACATTTTTAATTAGTTGCATTAATCAAAATGTTTTCAGTTCATAAATTCAAAATGTTTAATGTTGTAATTAATATAATTCCAATACTAATGTCAGGCAAATAATAGCTAAGAATTTATAATTCGTATGTTCCATATACTCGTTTCCCTATTTAGTTCGTATGCCTTAATGAGAGATATTTGAGACCGAGTCTACATTTTAGGTGAGGCGTGACAGACCGACCTTCGCCTCCCGCAACCCGCACGCTAACAAAAAAATTAATATGCATAAAATAAGAATAGACGCAGAAATTTGTCACTGTCCAACGTTGACAAGCGCCCGGTGGCGACTGACGGGGCAGTCATTATAGTAATCATTACTACAGGGCTTCAGACGAAAACCAAAATTTAGCAAGTTCTCTGTAGTACTTAAAGAGAAATATTTCCATATAAATATTATGTACAAACTTAGATATTTTATTCTTAAATAATTCGTTTTACATTTTTGTTTCAGCTTGTTTTCAAGATTTTATATGATCAGATAAAGCACATCCTATCGTGTAACAAATTAGCACATTCTTTAGACAATATCCTTTGGTGTATCGTATATTTTTTGTAAGATTGTTATTTAATAGTAAATACTTAAACCATTTGATCTAACAAAATAGTTGTTCCTGCTCCTCCTTCGGTAAATCGTCTTAAAGCGCAGTCTTATAGACGATGTTTCATATATTCATGTACTGTAACTTGTGTGGACGAACAAATATATATATTTTAATTCAATTGAGTTAAAGTCATAGATACCATTGAAACGAATTAAAAATATATCGACAAATGTATCTTAACTGAATATTCTTGAAACATGTTCCCAATCTTACAAAAAAGCTGTTCGTGTCAAAAAAATAATATTGACCCATCCACGTTGTTAATGCCTTCGTTTATAAAACTCGACATTTTCGGAATATTAGGGACGAATTTTTATTTTGATACGTCACTAGTAATACAGCGCTGGCCGTGTCACGTCGAGACGGGCCCACCCGGCCGGCGTAGCGAGCGGCGCCTCCCGCCGTATTTATGAGCCATGGGCCGTGCGCCCGTCACTTCTGATCCGCCTGTTATATGCATTGTTTTTATATTTACCTCACCCCGTCGGCCATAAGCTTACAGCGACGTTTAACAATTACTTGTATTTAGACATCGGGTGTCCCATTACCAATTTTATGATGAGCTGTGGTATTGAGTGACGACAAAGGAATATTGTATTGTAGTAATTCATGTTATCGACAATCTTTTTTTTTATAATATATAATACCAAGTGACCCGAGCAAATCGTGCTTCTGACGGTAGGCCCCGCGCCTGTCCATAGTCCATACAAGTTGTAGTGCCGCTCTGAGCTTTAAATAGCAAAGATCTGAGGGGCACTGTCACTGTCACTGCGCCCGTCACCCTGAGACATAAGTTGACAAGTCTCACGTGCCTGCAATTTCACCAGCACCCTTACACTTCAAAATCTTGGCGGCAGAAATAGGTAAGGTGGCAGCGTTTCCCTAGACGATCTCTTTCAGAAGGAGCACTAAATACAGCTACTATAAATCTTTATACAGAGAAGTATAATTACCTTTTTTCATACGATATACAATTTTTTTTTAAATCTCTTGTCAGTTGTCCAAAACTGTTACTTTTCTAATCGTCATTTTATTAAAGATGATCTGACATTCCTATATAATGAAGTCGAACAATATATTCCTCTGAAGAAGAAAGTTTTAGGGCCAGATCTCCTCAAGTTACATTATTGTACACGGCGCATGGTCACAAAAGTTTAAATAAAAAA